GACCCTAATTGATTTAGAGGTCATTAGGTGTAAGTTCAAGGTCGTTAATTTATACATTCTGTCTGTGTGCAACACTATCGTTTTGGGGCGATATTTCAAGAAGATCTTGAGCTTTTGCATTGAAAATTTATACCAAAACTCTCTAAGGCCTCTCTCACCCCTCCCGAAGTGCCCTGCCCCGTTTGTTTTATTAGTAATTATTGTATTAAATGTCGCTTGGCACTATTTTTTCGCAAAGGGGCATGTGGAGAGCTATGACATATAATACAGGTTGTTGGAAGATTTTTTAAAATTCTTATTACCTCTATTAGAATAGCTTAATAAAGGCTAAATTAGACACCATGCTTGTGACTCTAACGAACGTGAATACATACATGTTTGCATATAATTTCCGAAAGCACAAAGCGGTTCCTTGTTGTAGTGGTATTTCTCTCGCTTGACATCTAAGAGGTCCCGGGTTCGAATACCGGACGATACATAATTTTTGTTGAAATACTTTTTTATACAGAAAGATAGCATTCAGCATATAAAATGTAAAAGTTATGACGTCTGGCTTGCAAAACTTTTACAATCATCATTACAGTTGTTTGATATATTCTATATTAACAGCATTTTCTTATACACATAAAAAAAATAAGCAATAAAATCTTCATATCCATATTCGCATTTTTTTTGCTTCAATATAAATGTATACATTATATAATTCTACAAAGTCAGTGGCTAAGGAGATCCGACCCCCCCCCCCCCCCCCGAATTGCGCATGGTCTTCTTTTTTCCATTTGCGGGGGACACAAATTCTCTGCATAAGCTTATTTTTATTTTTAGCTCTACTGGTTAGAGAGCAGAAAAGCTTATGCGATAGCAAGGTGTTCGTCGTCCGTTCGTCTGTCTGTAAACAACTTATAAAAATGCTACTCCTCCTAGTTTTGGTCTGATTTCAATAAAATTTGGCACCCAAGTAGAATACACTAAGATACATTATAAAGTGCATCGATTTTCGATTTCAATGAACGGTGTCGCCATGGTTACTAAAAAATAGAAATTTCTACGAAATTCCTTTCAAACGCTACTCCTCCTACAGTTTTGGACTTAATTCAATATAACGTGGCACACACGTAGACTACACTAAGATACATGATACACTGCATCAATTTCTGATTCGATGAACGGTGTAACTGTTAAAAGTAATTTCTGTAAAATTCCTTAAAAATGTTACTCCCCCTACAGTTCAATATACTTTTGCACACAAGTAGATTACACTAAGATAATTCTAATTATTACTGCTTGTTGCAAAGTTTCAAATTCTAGTGCTTCTTTTCCTTTGTTAGACGTACAGACCAGTAGAGCTACAGTCTCACAAGAGACTTCTGGTTTCAAAATATTTTATCTATATTTGTCCCAATCTTATAATAGAATTCATAAAAAAATATATATTTAATAACTTTGTGTGCAACCAGCTTGGAAAATAACCAGCTCGGAACATAATACATGTAGAAAATGGTTTAATACATTTGAATATAAAAAAAATGTACGCGTTCTTTAAAAAATAGTTTATGTGCAGTGTATATATCAATCTATATGTAAAAGTGTATATCAATCAATATCAATCTATATGTAAAAAAAAAATAATTATGATGCATAATTTTAGAAAATGTCCCCATCAAACTCACACCTACCCCTATTGAAACAATGCAAATCGGAAAAAAAATCATCTTTTTGTAAAAATTATAAACACCATACACGTACATGTATTCTTGATAAGGATCCATGGAGGAGTTAGTATTCCTGTCAGTTCCTCGCTCACTCCTTGTCATAAACAGACAACACCCGTAGTCAAATTTATGTTTTCTAATAGTAGATGGTATTTGCAATGTAATCAATTCCATGTGTACATGATATCAGATAAGGGTATTTTCCTATGTAACGGGAGAGGAGAAAATGCAGCGGACCAGACCGGGATTCGAGCCCGGGCCCCCTGAAACTCCGGTCAGGTGCTCTACCAACTGAGCTATCTGGCGACCGGCGATCAAACCCAGCTGACCGCCACATTCCTCGCTCCTGAAAGGTCTCTGGCCCTCCTTAGACCCCAACCCAGGCTCACCCCTAGCAGACCTCCTAACTGTCAGTTACAGGGCATAGCACAGCACCAATGTTACGGGAGAGGAGAAAATACAGCGGACCAGACCGGGATAAGCCTTGGTTGGGGTTGGTAGAGCACCTAACCGGAGTTTCAGGGGGCCCGGGTTCAAATCCCGGTCTAGTCCGCTGCAATTTCTCCTCTCCCGTTAACCTACATAGTAAGGACAATTGCTGACAGAACGCTTATCAATTTCTATTATAAATTTTTAAGGTTACACTGTACCATTAACGTCTTTATCGAGAAAAATATAAAAGTTTTGCCATGCACTTGAAGTGAAGAAGGTCGGCCAAGTGGCATAGTGAGTACAGTGGAAAAAGAGGCCCTCTGTCACGATTCGAATCCCATTGCTGGACTTGGAGACGTCCTACAGTGTACACATGAGATCGTATAGAGCGAGGTCCCGTGCCGCAGTATTAGTTCTTGATCCATTAATGGTCGTGATTGACGAGTATAGCACTGATATTACTGTAATATTTTACTCCACCAGCAAGTGATGGCATATCGATACGAGTGAAAACGTTTTCTAGATGAGCTGTTAAATTGACTGCTTTTTCAAATCAAATACAATCAAATATTAGTTCAGGTAGTCGAGTGTGTAATATTCAGTTCCTTTTGTTACGCAATTAAAATGTTTGGTTGCCCTCTCCCGAACAAATGATTTATTATGACCCGATTCCAAATATTTTATCTCCAGGAAAACGAATTTGTAAAAGCAACTTTATAATTCATCACCTTCTACCGTCCCAATGTTTTCAGACAAGGTCTGGAAAGGGCACACATTGTTTTATAAGTTGGTTGTTTATTATGGTATTTTCGATTCCTTTTGTTAAGTGTTCTGAATATTTTTAAACTTTACAGGTTCTCTGCTTACAACTTTTTTTTTAATCCAAAATAATTTTCGCGCGTCTTTTCTTCTTCAGCAATTCGTTGGTAATGATAATTCGAAGGGACCTAAAACTTATATACACCATAAAGTTTGGATAAGGATCCATGGAGGTGTAAGTATTTCCTGTCATCTCCTTCACTACTTGTCATAAACAAAAAGAAGAAACACTTGCTGTTATCTTTAACTCGACATTATACACTTATCCACTGGCTGTGAGTGGGATAGCTCTTTTATCAAACCCACGACAGGAACTATTCCCCGAGGGCTTGCCAAGGGGTATAGTTTCTGTCAAGGGTTTGATAAAAGAACTATCCCACTCACAGCCAGTGGATAAGCGTTTTATTATACTGATGTATAATATAATTTTTGAGGTTTGAATTTTTTTTGGAGTAAGATAATTCTGCAAGAATAATCTGAAATCCTGATGACGTCACAATGCTACTGAAGTCATTATGACATCATCATGTCTATAGATTTGTCGCTGGAAATCAAAATTGGCGGCAAAAATTACAAGAAAATTTTCCGAGGGTGGATAGCAAAAACTATACCCCGGGGTATAGCTCTGCTATGCGTGGACTATAAAAGATAGCTATTTTACCTTCTGAACTTTAGATAAGAAACATTTTAACAGAAGTATAATAATAAGATATATTAAACTGTCCGAAATATCTGACATTTTGAAAGCTTTTTCTCGAGTTTGGTATTTTATGTGCCAGGGAAGCGTTTTGGCATGTACAATATCAAAACAGTAAAAAATAAAAAGCCTGGGAAAATTTCAGATATTTCGACTAATCGAAGACGTATCGTCAATTTTAAATAGTTATTTTCATTCTCATGTCAAAGCTATATATCCCGGTGAGATTGAAATGAAAGATACCACAGAGTCTGACATATCTGTTTCATAAATGGTTATTTTACATGAAAAAAACTTGAATGGTTATTTAACAACAAAGCCGTATGATAAACGTGATGATTTTTACTTTTCAGACCGCAGCTTCTCTTATGCAGCAACATGCCTTTCTAGACGTGTGCGGCTTAAGGATTTTTTATCTCTCAGTTGAATTGACTGAAAAGCATGTTCTGCGTATGAACAATTCTAAAACTAGGAAAGTGATTGACAAACAAGTTGATGAAGCAATGATATCAGGAGTCTCGTTTTAATTATCATCTCGTATGTTCTATTGTCAAAACAATGACTTTGTAAGCAAATACAATTAATCATTAAAGCTGAACATGACTCGTAAATAGGCATAGACCATTTTCGATAAGATTATCTACGATACATCAACTCCGTGGTTTACTGTTCGCATTCGTTACACTTGACTGCGTTTTAGTTATGTGTATCGGCATGGAATAGCGACACGTGTTCGCGCTGGTTATCTTGCATTTAATTATCTTTGATTACATTTTATTGCATTTACGCATATTTGTGTTTTTATACTGCACTGTACCTGTGCAACTGTTTTAAGTGTCTCTGGTACCCTTATTTCCAGCATTGGAAGAAGTACAGATTTTGTCGCTACTGAGTACTGTAAAGAAAACATCCGTGTGCACCGGTGACAATTCATTACACTTAACAGTGACTAAGTTACCCGCTCTATTAAAAAGGCGAGAGAATGATCTAATATGGCGGATTTTTTTTACGAATCGTGTTCACCTTCAAGTCAAATGACAAGGAATGCTCACTCCTGATCCCACCTCTGATGTTTTGGTGGTCCGTGTTTGCTCCGCACTATTTTGTAATGTTTAATTGACTGATGAGCTGGAATACTCTTTGTTATTTCCACCTGCTTTGTTCCGATTTTTCTTCGGATAGTACAATGAAAATTAACTAATGGATGTTATTGTATGTTGCTATTAGATTTTTTGTCATGCTTAAGCTTTCTCTATACGTAGTTGGAACAAAAAAAATCCAAAGCAAAATACATTTGTTCAGAAGATTTTAATGCATCATAAATTTGTAAGCAGACACACAGGCTAGTAATACAGCCATTATCACCAGATTGGTTTTCGTATCTCTGCCTCCATTATGTTTGTCTGCAAAGAAAGATAAACCATAAAATATCAGTAAGATAACTATAAACAATTAACTATTACAACATTTAACAAATCCGACTAGATATTTTATTCCGAACCATGGCTTTGCATTGGAGTCGGAAGCAAAATGGAAAGGGGGGATAAAGCAAACAACCAACCAAAAAACAATAGCCAAAATTTTCAATGTTCAATATTATTTTGTTCATCTTAGCAAAAAATCTAAAGGGCTAAGCATCCCCCCAACCCGCCCCGTTCTGACACTTATGTTTTGAGGGAAATAATATCCCAACTGCCACTGACCTATGTTATAATAGAAATACTTATAGCAACTGCTCGTTCGATAAGCGCTGGGGAATTGGAGTAAATGGTGCAGGACCCTTTCATTTGACCTTGAAAAACGAAGTCCAGGTTCATGAATGGGGTTAGCAAGCTATACCTAACAGTGGAATGGCCCGACGTGCGGAGTTTACATAATATTTCAAAGCCTTGACCTATTTACATGTTTTATGGCACCTCTATAGGAGTGCAAAATTCTCAACTGAAACGATAAATGACATACATTCGATTAATCAAAGTCTCATCATGCGCGAATCAATATCTTTTTTTCAGTACACATGAAAAGCTCCGCCAGAAACTGCATTGTAACTAATTTCATATTTCGCTCTGCATGAGGTTCTCCAGAATTTTATTGAAACTTGTCTTATTCATCATTGTATATTGATTTTCATAATTTATGTAAGTTGTCTTTGAATGCAAAACAGGAGTGATGAGCATGCCACTTAGTATCCGGATTTTCTAACATCAAATGACTTGGTCATGGCTTTGACGACCGAGGTATTAGTGTGTCATGTAAAAGCCATCCAAAGAGCTCCGCCTACCATTCAAACGATAAGGCCAAATATCAGAAAAGACGGAATCTTCACACTTTACAAACAGCATCGTCGCAAACCACGGCCAAAATGTACGCTCCTCTCCTATCTTATAGGAGAAAGCTGTATGTGCGGACTCCGGACCGTGGCTTGAGACGATGTACAAACAGACGAGTGGATTTTCAATAACTTAAGTTAGTTTGATAACATCTTACCACATCCCAGAACATTATACAGGTCTAGCTGTTCTTTTCCTGATTCGTGAACAATGCGATTTCCGGGTGCATCTAAGTTTGATTCACAATCTTTTACTACTTTTTGTACACAGGTGACGTTGCTTGATAATCCACTGAAATGAACATTTTATGTAATTATTTTGTTATTATTTAACAGAGGTTACCATATAAATAAAATATACTCGGTACAAGAATTTTAAATGTTTTCCATACACGTACTTTGGTATTTTTTCACTTCCCCTTGTTTTATTTTCGCCCTTTCACTTTTGCAAAGAGAAAATTTACTTAAGTTGTCCACCAAACAGTATTGATAAACAACTTGCCCCCTCTTGAGTTGGGCGAAAGGTGTGGATATAAATTACCTGTATATGATATTAAGTATATTTAATGTAACGTATAATACAAATAACTATGAATTCATAAATCATATTCCCTGTGATCATGAATTAATAATTTACACAGTATGATAGATCCTTAGTCATGTAAAACTAACTTGTACATATCCTCCTAACACACCAGCCGTGGGGAATGAATGAATGAAAAGGCAAGGAGTTGTAAAACATCTTTTTTCACGCCAAGGAATTCAGTCATATTTTGATCACTAGATCGTGTATTTGAATTCAATAAAATTTTCAATTTGTCAAAACCGTTCCTTTTTTAGCTCTACTGGTCTAAGACCAAAAGAGCCTATACGATAGTAATACGTCCGTCGTCCGTCCATCTGTATGTCTGTGAACAATTTTTCAAAATGCTACTCCTCCTTGAGTTTTGGTATGGTTTCAATTTAATTTGGCACACATGTAGAATATACTAAGATACGTTAATGCTGTGCATCGGTTTTTGGTTTGTATGAATGGTGTTGCCGTGGTTACTAAAATAGAAATTTCTGTGAAATTCTTTCAAAATGCTACTTCTCCTACAGTTTGTCCGATTTCAATAAAACTTCACACATGTAGACTACACTAAGATACATTGTAACGCTTTAGACTTTGCCTATTCCAATTATGCAAGTTGGGCCTTGGGATCTCTGATTGGCTGAAGCTGATCATGTGACCTTAGCTGATCATGTGACTTAGACAAAGGTATATAAGCAAGCGCAGCTAAGCTGCAGGGTTCTTTTAGTCCAAGTAGCAGAGCGCAGAAGACTGAAGTTCAGGAGATAAGGTTAGTCGGGTGGATTGCCAAATATTGAGGCTTGCCACAACTGTTTAACAATACTGGGTGGATTGCCTGACGACGAAGGCTTGCCACAATAAATAGGGTGTATTGTATTATTGTTTGACTAACCATTTAGAGGAACGTCAACCCCCTTGAGGCTTACCTGGTAAGCTTTTAAGAAAGTGGAAGTCTCTGATAACAGTGGATGACTGTGCGTCCTGAATAAGGACAATTCAGTGTCTTCTGTTGTTAGAGGCTGACCACTAGGATATTGGACAAAGCGGCGTGACTGACACTACGAGCCTGAATAAGGCAATATTGGTGTCAGTCCGGTGCTATTGGGCGAACCAGTGATTTTGTAAATATAAGGCCGACAATCAATTGTGATTTCCCCCTAAGTAAGTGAAGGGCCATATCTGTATATATTTGCAGGCCAATCATTTAACCAATCATTTTTAAAAGGAAAATTATTTATTGTAAATATCATTTTTTACCGAGATCCTGGAATCAACCTGGTACGACCCCTCAACACGTTACAACATTATTATGTGCATCGGTTTTTGATTTCGATAAACGATGTTGCCATGGTTACTAAAAATAGAAATATTTATGAAATGCTTTCAAATTGCCACGCCTGTTACAGTTTTGGTCTGATTTCAATATAACTTTGCACACAATTAGACTATACTAAGATAAATGATTCTGTGCATCGGTGTTTGATTCCAATGAATGGTGTTGCCATGGTTACTAAAAATAGAATTTTTTGTCAAATGCTTACAAAATGCTACTTCTCTTACAGTTTGGGTCTAATTTCAATCTAAATTGGCACACAAGTAGATTACCCTAAGATACATAATTCTGTGCATCGATTTTTGATTTCAATGACAATGTTGCCATGGTTATTAAAAAAAGAAATTTCTGTGAAATGTCAAATGCGACTCCTCCTTTATTTTTGGTCTGATTTCAATCTAACGTGGCACACAAGTAGATTACAATAAGATACATAATTCTGTGCATCGATTTTTGATTTCAATGACAATGTTGCCATAGTTATTAAAAACAGAAATTTCTGTGAAATGTCAAATGCGACTTCTTCTTTAGTTCTGGTCTGATTTCAATTTAACTTGGTACACAAGTAAAAAACAAAATTCTGTGCATCAATTTCTGATTTCAATCAATGGTGTTGCGTCGGTTACTAAAAATAGATACATTTTTAATGTTCTTATAATATACTGTGACATGCAGATAGACTACACTAAGATACATTATTGTCTTTATTGTTTTTTTTTTTAATTTATTTTAATGAATGATGGGACGTTAAACAATATACAATCAATCAATTTATTTATTGCTGCTACTTTTCTCTTCTTTTGTTATGAGTATAAACCAGTAAAGCAACAGTCTCGACAGAGACTTCTGGTTCCCTTGCGATTTTCATTTTCTCACTTTCCAATTCCTGACCTTAAAGTGTACGTGCATATATATCGGTTCTTATTGAAATGTTGTTTCACTTAAAACAGCTTACTTGCCATTCAACAGCAGTTATTAAAAACAATTGGTAAATTTTCTTCGCAGTCACACTCGATACACACAACTCTCTTTAACCTTTTTTCTAACAAACTGTTCAAGAGGCCCATGAGGAAAATACGTGACCTGAGCATCATGCAGCAACTTTCCAGCGATTGAATTTGGTTCATGTTTAAAACCAGAGGCCATGGCATTCACAAATTTGAAAGAGGCACAACTGCTCATCATAACTTTACACTTGCATGTTTAGTTTGGTTACTTAATAATCATAAAACATTACAACTAATCAGTAATAATCAGTAGTGCCCAATCCAACAGGAAGCCTTGGCCCTAGGTCCACACATTTCAAAGTTTTGGAAAAGGCACCCTTGCTGATCATAAATATTTGATAAATATCGGAGATTTTAATGCAATAATTAATTTTTAAGTAAATAATTAGACTGCCCCTCTATGGTACCCCTAAATCAACAGCCTTCAAAATCTATATTTTTTTTAATGAATGGAAGAATTATCTTTGCTCATCATACATGTACATGTAGCTATGTGGGTAGTTCATCGGTTAAATACTCTGGAGCAGAGAAGAAGACTTTCAGGGAAATAAAATATTGATATTTTTCAAAAAGGCACCCTTCCTCATCAAAACTTTTTAGCTCACCTGAGCCGAAGGCTCAAGTGAGCTTTTCTGATCACATTTTTTCCGTCGTCCGTCCGTCTGTCTGTCTGCCCGTCCGTCTATAAACTTTTCACATTTTCGACTTCATCTCAAGAACCACTGGGCCAATTTTGACCAAACTTTGTACAAAGCATCCTTGGGTAAAGGGGAATTTAAATTGTTAAAATGAAGGGGCAAGTCCCCGTACAAGGGGAGATAATCAAGAAAAGACAAAAATAGGGTGGGGTCATTAAAAAATCTTCTTCTCAAGAACCACTGGGCCAGAAAAGCTGAAACTGATGTGGAAGCACCCTGGGGTAGTGTAGATTCTAAATTGTTCAAATCATGACCCCCGGGGGCAGGGCGGGGCCACAATTGGGAATCAAATTTTTACATAGAAATATAGAGGAAAAATCTTTCAAAATCTTCTTCTCAAGAACCACTGGGCCAGAAAAGCTGAATCTCATGTGGAAGCATTGTGGGGTAGTGTAGATTCTAAATTGTTCAAATCATGACCCCGGGGGTTGGGCGGGGCCACAATGGTGAATCAAAGTTTTACATAGAAATATATAGGAAAAATCTTTGAAAATCTTCTTCTCAAGAACCACTGGGCCAATAAGGCTGAAACTGATGTGGAAGCACCCTGGCGTAGTGTAGATTCTAAATTGTTCAAATCATGACCCCCGGGGGTAGGGCGGGGCCACAATGGGGCATCAATGTTTTACATAGAAATATATAGGAAAAATCTTTGAAAATCTTCTTTAGAACAACTGGGCCAGAAAAGCTGAAACTGATGTGGAAGCATCCTGGGGTACTGTAGATTCTAAATTGTTCAAATCATGACCCCCGAGGGTAGGGCGGGGCCACAATGGGGAATAAAAGTTTTACATAGAAATATATAGGAAAAATCTTTGAAAACCTTCTTTTCAAGAACCACTGGGCCAGAAAAGCTGAAACTCATGTGGAAGCATTGTTGGGTAGTGTAGATTCTAAATTGTTCAAACCATGACCCCCGGGGGTAGGGCGGGGCCACAATGGTGAATCAAATTTTTACATAGAAATATATAGGAAAAATCTTTGAAAATCTTCTTCTCAAGAACCACTGGGCCAGAAAAGCTGAAACTGATGTGGATGCACTCTGGGGTAGTAAATCATGACCCCAGGGGGTAGGGCAAGGCCACAAAATGTATTACAAGGGGGAAATCTGGTAAAGAACAATATGACAAAAGATTCTCAGGTGAGCGATGTGGCCCATGGGCCTCTTGTTTTTTATGTTTCGTTTGTTTTATACCAAGGTGCAGGTTAGATTTTCGAAAAATTAATGCATTTTCACTTTATAATTACTAGAGCCTGCTCTCACACCAGAGCCCTTGACCCGGGGCCATTAAATTCACAATTTTGTAAAAATGCACCCTTTGTCATTATAATTTTTCATTACGTTTGTTTGTTGAATGCCCAGGAGTAGAGAAGTTTCATTCAAGATATAATACATTTTCATTATATTATCGATATAGTCTCAAATTATAATTAGCTTTTAACCCCTAACATCTTTGAGCGTAATAACGTTCTTTGTAAAAGAACCAGATTTAAACATTTGGGAATACATTATCAAATCTATGCATGGAATTTTTTTCCCCAAAGAATTTCAATGAATAAAAAATAATTGAAAGGAATGATATGTAAATGCATTAATAAGATAAACGTCTTAGGAATAAATAAAAATTATTAGATAAACTATAAATCTATTTAATTCGATTTTTTTCTGATGTGAATAAATCTACAAATAGACTGAATTAAGAATGAATGAATGAATAAATAAATCAATCAATCAATCAATCAATCAATCAATCAATCAATCAATCAATCAATAAAAAAAAGAGAATTATATAAATTTATTTTTTTTTAATTTATCACTCATTTATATCCCCAAAATTTGATTTATTAGTTTTAATTTATTTATTCGCTGAAATATGCTACAAAGTATCTTATTAGCATATTAAAACTACTTTTCATTACTTTAAGTCCATGATGGATATCAAAATAATCGTCTCATTATGCACAATATTAATCTGTCAATTAGATTTTTGATACATTGATTTGATCAAAAATCGGTTTTCAAAACCCTAACACGGTTCTGAAAGAACATCAAAGCCATTGATGTTTACCAGTAATTAACCCGGGGTACACGGTCATGACATCTATTATCTTTTTCACTGACCGCTATACCTTGTTTTTGTTGTGTTCAGAGCGACCGTGTGTAGATTTTTGAAATAACAATTTCTCTCTGTATGAGAACTGATTTTTTCAATCAAAACAAACTAAAAGTATCAAAGAAACTATTGATGGGTAAAGATTGTGCATAATGAGACGATTATTTTGATATCCATCATGGAAGTAAAATAATTAAAAGTAGTTTAAATATGCTTCAAAAATACTTTGATACATATTTATCGTAAATCAGTTTACAATTTATCAATGAAAAAATATGAATTATTTCGGATTATTGAAATAATAAAAAGATCTTACAAGAAATAGCAACTTAATACCTAAATTTAAGAACATAGTTAATTATTTGTTTACACAAAATTCCACCTACTCCCACATGAAATTTTACCTTTTTGTACCTGATTTTCAGAAAGTGGGAATAGCTTGCATAAACCAATATGCCAAACAAATCTCATTACGGGTATATGATTATTTAATTTGTTTGTATCGTCAATTTAAAAATAAAAAGATTGTTTTTATAATGATTAAATACATGCAGTTAACTAGTTTATATTTTATTTACTAACTACTTAGAATCAATTATTGTATTGATTTTAAAAACTAAAATATTCCAAACTGCGACAGTACCCCTGCTGTCTTTTCTTCTTCTTTTTTTTTTACAAAGGGTACAAAGTCACTCCATTATTTAATGAATAAAACAGATTACATCGAAATAATTACATAGTAAATAAATAAAATAAAATAAAAGAATAGATTATTATTATAAAAGTATCAATCTCTTTATCTATTTATTTTTAAAAATGAAAATACAACAAATTAGTCAATAATTTATTATATCCGCAACAAATTATGGCTTTTTTATTGGTTTTTGTTTATGTTTTGTTTTGTTTTTGTTTTTTTTGTTTTGTGTTTCTTTTTTTTTTTTTGGTTTTATTTTACATAAACCGTTGCGTCCTTAGATGTGCTACAAAGTATTTTATTAGCAAATTAAAGCGACTTTTTATTATTTTAAGTCTATGATGGATATCAAAATAATCGTCTCATTTTGCACAATATTAATCCGTCAATAAAATTTTGATACTTTGTTTTGATTGAAACAATCGGTTTTCAAAACCCTAACACGGATCTGAAAGAACATCAAAGCCATTGATTATTCGATGTTAACCGATATACGATAAGAAAAAAAAAGTGTCAAAGTATTTTTGAAGCATATGAAAACTACTTTTAATTATTTTACTTCCATGATGGATATCAAAATAACTGTCTCATTATGCACAATCTTTACCCGTCAATAGCTTCCTGGATACTTTTATTTTGTTTTGATTGAGAAAAAAATCAGTTCTCATACAAAGAGAAAATGTTATTTCGAACAGCTGCAAACTACACACGGTCGCTCTGAACACAACATAAACAAGGTATAGCGGTCAGTGAAAAAGACAATAGGTGTCATGACTGTGTACCCCGAGTTAATTACTGGTAAACATTAATGGCTTTGATTTTCTTTCAGAACCGTGTTAGGGTTTTAAAAACCGATTTTTAATCAAATCAATGTATCAAAAATCTAATTGACGATTAATATTGTGCATAATGAGACGATTATTTTGATATCCATCATGGACTTAAAATAATAAAAACTCGTTTTAATATGCTAATAAAATACTTCGTAGCACATCTAAGGATAAAACTGTTTATGTAAAATAAAACTAAAGATACACAATTTCTTGCAGATATAAATGATTATTTTTTTGTATTTTAAATTTCAAAAGTAAATAAATAGATTGATATTTTATTAATAATTATTATATTATTCATTTATTTTATTTTATCTATTTACTATGTATTCATTTCGCTGTAATCTGTTTTATTCATTAAATACTGGTTTGACTTTGTACCATTTGTAAAAAAAAAAAAAGGAAAAAAGAAAGAGACAGCAGGGGGTACTGGTGGATTTTGGAATAATTAAGTTTTTAAAATCAATACAATAAGTGATTTTAAATAGTTAGTAAATCATAAAAAAAATTAACTTATTTACTGCATTTATTTATTTATTATAAAAACAATCTTTTTTTATTTTTAAAATTGACGATACAAACAAATTAAATAATCAAATACTCGAAAATGCTATTTGTTTGGCTTATTTTATGTAAAACTATTTACGATAAAATATGTGTCAAAGTATTTTTGAAGCATATTAAAACTGCTTTTTATTATTTTACTTCCATGATGGATATCAAAATAATCGTCTCATTATGCACAATCTTTACCCGTCAATAGTTTCTTTGATACTTTTGTTTTGTTTTGATTGAAAAAAAAGAAATTAAGTTCTCATAAAGAAAAAATGTTATTTCAAACAGCTGCAAACTGTACACGGTCACTCTAAACACAACATAAACAAGCTATAGCGGTCAATGAAAAAGACAATACATGTAGCTGTCATGACTGTGTACCCCGAGTTAATTACTGGTAAACATCAATGGCTTTGATGTTCTTTCAGAACCGTGTTAGTGTTTTGAAAACCGATTTTTTAAAATCAAATCAATGTATCAAAAATCTAATTGACAGATTAATATTGTGCATAATGAGACGATTATTTTGATATCCATCATGGACTTAAAGTAATAAAAACTCGTTTTAATATGCTAATAAAATACTGTAGCATATTAATTTCAGCAAATAAATAAAATAAATCTAATAAATCAAATTTTGGGGATATAAATGAGTGATAAATTAAAAAATAAACAAATAAATGAATAAATTTATATAATTCTCATTATTTATTTATTTATCTATTTATTTATCCATTCATTCTTAATTCAGTCTATTTGTAGATTTATTCACATAAGAAAATAAATGAATAAAATAGATTAATAGTTTATTTAATAATTTTTATTTATTTCTTAGACGTTTATTTTATTAATGCATTTACATATCATTCCTTTCAATTATTTTTTATTCATTGAAATTCTTTGGGAAAAAAATTCCATGCATAGATTTGATAATGTATTCCGAAATGTTTAAATCTGGTTCTTTTACAAAGAAAGTTATTACGCTCAAAGATGATTCAAAGTAGATCAAATAAAAAATGAAAAAGTTTATAAATATATATATAAGGTTCATAAAGTACAATGTATATGCCGTTTAGCATCACAAGATGCAATAAATTGGTAATTTATTTCTTTAGAATCGATGCAATTCTCTGCCGTTCTCCCCCCGAAATGCTACCAAACTAAAAAAAATCACATTGATGCAAGTTGTAGAAACTAAATTACAGGGATTTAGTTAAGGCATTTAAAAATGTGTTAACTTTTAACTAAGTCTATATTTTCAAAAAAAAAAAAAAAAAAAAAAACTTAAAGTTCTCAAGACTATATCATTTTTCACTCTTAAATTCAACAAAAATATATTTTAATCTCCTTTTCTTGGCCAAAATAAATGTCAGGGGACGACAGGGAGTAGGCAGGAAGGCAGGGACAACGACAGGGGACGACAGGGACTGGACAGGGAGATCAGAGAATGTCAGGGGACGACAGGGAGTAGACAGGGAAGGCAGGGACAACGACAGGGACTGGACAGGGAGAGCAGGGACAACGACAGGGGATCATAGGAGAAAGTCAGGGAGAGACAGCAAAATGTCAGGGACTGACAGGGGGATAACAGGGGATTTTTTGGAATCTAAGGGGATATTTAATTCAGTAATGCCGGGGGCCATCAATTCACAATTGTGGTAAAGGACTCAATATTTACATTCGTGCCAACAGTTTGACTGCTTGTTGTCCAGGAGTAAAAAACAAATTATAAAAATTGCTTTAATTTTAGTGGTTTTGTCCAACCCCAAGGCTCTAAGGGAGGGGGGGGGGAGGGACCATGATCATGAAGTTCACAGTTTTTGTTCCTCTTAAAACATAAATGCTTTATGCAAAAATTAATTGAATTGGTTGTGGGGTTGCAGAAAAAAAGCTGAAAATGATTAAATGTTAACACACGACGGACGAAAACAAATAGAACATGTATTATGTCACATGAGATAAAAAGACGGGAAAAAAATTATGAGTGGAAGGGTTATGTATAAATATAAAGACAATGAATAATGAGCAGAACTTATTTTTCACCAAACATATGTAAGAAGTACAATACCTGCAAGTATATACCTGTACACCTAGTCCCACTTTATGTATATGATAGGTTGGGTTGCATTTCTTTAAATCGGATTCTGTACACGATTGTCCTTCACAACCTAAAAATCAGATGTATTTGGCCATGTTTGGTAGCCTAGCCAGACCTTCACCACAGGAGTCTGAAGTCGTCGTCGATAAAATAAAATCCAGAAAAAAAATTGCCACCCTCAACTAAAAACAGGGATGGCAACGTATTTTGGGGGGACCCACTTGAACAAATAGATCTCAGTTTGATCAGAATTTTTTTTGAGACTAAATCAGTGTCCGGAGTGCTTTTACTTTCTAATCAAATTAAAAATATTCATTCTGCTTGACAACTAGGGGCCGAGTTAAATTTGCCCCCCCCCCATAAAACACGTTACTATCCTGGTGTATTATTTTCAGTTGAGGGTGGAAATTTTTTTCCAGATTTTTTTTGCCGGTAAACACTTCAGACTCCTGTGCCTTTACAAAAGTTACTCTTGTTTATTATAGCTTCCTGGACGTATAATGAATACTTTTATTTACTATAAAAATTTACAACAGACCTTTTTGAAGATTTAGAGACCGAGAAATACTGAATCGTAAATTACATGTAAATGATGTAAATTTTCTTTATGAAATATGTTAATGAACCAGAAGTTGTTCATTTTGATATTAGAAACACTACCCCCCCCCCCTAAATCTTTGATAACAGGGTATCGACAATTTATTATCTGAATGAGTCCTTACAGAGTTGACGTTTTGCTTACCTTTAGTGAGAATGATTAACACCAAACACGTGAAAGATGACACAGTTGATAGTTTTGGCATCATTTTTCCTTCCTCTGAAAAAAAAAAAATTTAATAAAAACACATTGCCTAATTTAGCCTTTGGTTTCAAAATCAATAGGCGTTTTCTATACGACATGGTGAACTGCCACGTAAAATCTCATTGCAAAAGCTGAAACACATATTGCGATTAAACGAGAGTACAACAGACAGACAAACATCCGGGTGGACCTCAAAATCAAATGGCGTCTTCTTATGGCCATATAGTTTTCATTGCAAAAGCTGAAAGGCTTCTCATGATACTGCATGAAAACGAAAATGTTTCAGACTGTGACAAAGAGAAATAAAGCCGGATGGAGAAACCATTGTGTAAAAGTGGTGGTCAAAAAACTGCAAATTTAGCCACTTGCATTGGTGTCTTTAAGGTTTCTAAGGAACCTGGGTTCAACAGTAAGAGAAAAGTAAATGTTTGCCCAGTATAAGTATTTGACGGACAAAACGATCCCGTAATACTTAAAAGTGTAGAATTTTTTCTCACCGAGCGTAGATAATTAAACCATTATTTAATTTCAAAATTAATTTTAAGACTTCCATTTTCTACTGTATAATCTGGGTTAGGGTGGCTTTTGTGGTTCATAAATCGGAAAAAAAACCTTTCCATAGTACAAAAACACTTTAATAAAATTTAACTTTTATATGTGACCAGTAAACAGAGGATACATACACCTGATTTAGACTTCTGGATTTTTAGGGTCCCTATTTTATGCGCTGGTCACAGATCAAAATCCCTGAAATATTTTTGAAATCGACTCAAGTTCGTTATTTTCACAACAAAATATTTTTTATTTTTCCTTATCCTACACAAAAATACTTTATAGTTATTTGAAAATAAAAGTAACATACCCAAGTAGACGCCAAAGAAACAAAAATTCGGATCTTGAGGGATGGCACTGCCAGCAATAATCTTTAAATACAGTGCAAAAGCTATGGTTATTTAAAATTTCTTGTACGATTTTTGATTTTCAATTTTATTTCATTTTCATAAAACCAAAATCGTTAAAATCACTTCATTAGCATAAATTTTGCTATTGCGACAGCTGGAGCATTAGATCCCATACGTATTTTATTACATGCACCAAAGTACACACAGATGTAAGGTTTGTTTCAAAACAAATATTTTGTTTTTTTTCAAGCATGAAACGCTATAAATGCTTAAAGTACAGATAATTTCAATAATGAACCTTTCAAATGGAGATTTTGAATTTCGAATAAACATTTAAATTGTCCATAAGCAGAACAAAATTCAACCACAATGCAATAGTCCAGACGAAGTTTCTGTTTGATATTGAGATTAAATCTTCATCAAAAAATATTTTTCAAAACGACGAACACGTGTTTTCGAAAAAAAATAATGATGTACAGGTAGGCGGTATTGGAGAAGTAATAACATGTACTTTAATTTCTAATACACGTGTAAATTCAAGATTTGATCGCTGTAAATCAATTAGAATGTAGAATTGTTAGAAAAATTACCAAAAAAAAAAAAAAAAAAAAAGATAGCTTCAATTTTGTACTTTAAAAAAAAAATTTAATAACGTTAATTGACTTTTCTTTCATATTGTACAATATTGTATAAATAATTGATGTCATTGCGAAATGGAACGGAACAGTGTGAAAAAACAACAACAAAAATTTAAGTAAAAAAAATTATCTCAGTATTTTAAATATCATTTTTCGCATGAATAAATGGGGAAAAGGATAAGACGCTTTCAATTGGTACTACCAATTTCATTACCTTGCGGAAACATAAAAGATATGTAAGGGATATGCTGCTTAAATTTAAGGAAAGAAAACCGAAGCCCCTTATCAATACAAGCCTTGTCACGTTAAACATCCCTTACAGCTTAATTGCCCTAAGTGTCGAGTTACAATGTGCAACTAGGTAAGTGGAAAATTCTGAAGTCCCTCACCATTTAACATGTTTAAATGGCATCTCTCGACGAGTGCAAAAATTCTCGAAAATACAGTCAGTAAATCAAATATTCCAAGTGTTAGCCTAATAATGTGCGAGTCAGTATTTTTTTTATGGGAGAGATCGAGGTGTCCACACGAATTCCAACAGCATCAATGCAATAGACACGTTATCATGCTCAAAAGTCCACAAAACATTACAAAACAAGAGCAGAACAAAAAGGGGCCAAAAAACATCAGAGGTGGGATCAATTCTCATGCGAGAGTGAGCATGTCCTACCGACTGATTACACCTGCCGTGACGTCCTTGACTTGCCCGAAATTTGAGCGAAAAATTCGTGGACGTTTAGTGAGTTATTAAGGCGTTATATTAAGTATGAACAAGACTGTGTGAAACACTGATGCCCCAGTATGGCAGAGGGAAATTTCTCAAATGCAAATCAAACTTCAAGGTCAAAATTACTGGTACCCAAAGAACTGTCTTGTTATACCCCCCCCCCGCGCTTGAAAAGTGGGAGGGTATATAGTAATCGGGATTTCCGTCCGTCTGTTACGCTTTATCTCTTATCCGCAACTCCCCTTATACTTCTGAGTGAAATTTAATGAAACTTTCACAGAATCTTTGTTACATATTGCCATTTTGCACCTCCTATTTTACTTCATTATTCCACACATATTTTAGGTTTCCCATAGCAAGACATGAACATTGCCATTATATGTTTACCTATGACGTCACATATATAGAAGCTTCTGGATAACATTTGATAGGACGAGTTATTCCTCTTTACACATTACCGTAAAACAATATATAGCAACATATGGACATTATGGGAGGCGGGGATATCATTTAGTGAGCTCATTGCTCACATTACCTCTAGTTTTTTTTTTTTAAAGTGGGCCAAAGTCTAGGACCAAGGTAAAAAAAAATCTATATCCATTGAAAGGTCTTGTCACAATGTATAGATTGTGAAGTTAGAGACAACCCTAGCACAAACTGTTCAAAAGTTAAGGCCTAGGTAAAAGTTTGGTTCTTTTTCGTAAAAGTAAGTCAAACGAAAACTTCAAGGTCAAGAGGTCATTTTTTGATTGTAATCAAAGAAAGGTTTTGTCACAAAGAATATACATTTCTGTATCTTTGAAAAATAAAAGCCCTAAACCCACCAACTCATAAGTTATTGGCTATATTAAAGTTGACAACAGACATACAGACAAACAGAAAGGACAAAACAATATGACACCGGGCTCTTTCAATATGGCGGGGGGGGGGGGGGGAGGCCAGTCAGTATTTGACTTAATGATATATTGTACTTGCTTACAAAGTCATTGTATCGACCAAAGAAATTAAGAAATGATGACATTAAACGAGAATTCTGAATTCTTATAATTCTTACAAACAAAGATACATTGCAGGTTCCAGTAAATGTTCAGCCAAGCCTCTTTCGTTACTTCTCATTAAAATATTGACAGTAGTGAAGGCAAAACTTCAAGAGTACTGTGCAACTATATATTCAAGAAGTGGTGTAAATCAGATGTAGATACTTAAAAATTCTAAAGAACTTTTGGACAATTTGAAATCACAAGACTTTACAAAAATCAACAGCTGAAAAACTTACGACTTTTCAACTTTATACACAACGATTCCCCACGACAAATTAAAATCCAGGCTTTTTGATATCGTTGACAGCTGCTTCTTCAACAAAAATGGAACTCGTAAATTTACTTACCTCGTCATTGATCATTTGAAAAATTATTTTGTTAAAACAGGTTATGATTGCACACATAAGTACTCTGAAATTGACATCAAGAAGATACTTGAGTTTCTGATTGACAAGATCTATGGGTTTTTGGAGACGAGGTTCTTCCAACAATCTATTGGAATTCCAATGGGAACCAAATGCACTCCGTTATTAGCAGACTTATTTTATATTCATATGAAGCAGAATTTATGCAAAATATTATGCGTGAGAAGAAGATTGATTATATACTGTTTAACGTCCCTCTCCAGAATATTTCACTGATATGGAGACGTCACCATTGCCGGTGAAGGGCTGGAAATTTAGGCCTATGCTCGGCACTCAGGGCCTTTGAGCAGGGAGGGATCTTTATCGTGCCAACCTGCTTTGACACGGGGCCTCGGTTTATACGGTCCTATCCGAATGACCGCTCCATTTAGTCGCCTTTTACAACAAGCAAGGGGTACTGAGGACCTATTCTAACCCGGATCCCCACGTGAGAAGAAGA